AGAGGCTATATAAAGTGCTAGTGGTTGTGAGTGGTGGTTCAGTCCATGTTATTATTGTGTTTGAGGGTACGGTTGTCCATTGTGGGTGTGTGTATGTTCAGTCCATGAGTTTAACGTGGGTCAGATGTCAGGAGGCAGAGTTCAGGAGTCTGACAGCTGTGGGGAAGAAGCTGTTCCGGTACCTGGTGGTCTTAGTCCGGAGGCTCCTGTGGCGCCTCCCAGAGGGCAGGAGGGTGAAGAGTCCATGTGATGGGTGACTGGTGTCTTTGATGATTTTCCCAGCCCTTTTCAGACACCACTTCCTGTAGATGTCTTTTATGGCAGGAAGTGGTGCTCCGGCGATGCGCTGGGCAGTTTTCACGACCCTCTGCAACGCCTTCCGGTCCGAGGCAGAGCAGTTCCCGTACCAGACTGTTATACAGTTGGTCAGGATGCTCTCGATGGTGCAGCGATAGAAGTTCACCAGGATGTCTGAGGACAGGTGGTTCTTCCTCAGAGTCCTCAAGAAGAAGAGGCGCTGGTGAGCCTTCTTGACCAGCTTGGAGCAGTTGTTCGTCCAGGTGAGATCCTCGGAGATGTGGACTCCCAGGAACTTGAAGCTGCTCACACGCTCCACAGCCGTTCCCTTAATGTGGATGGGTGGATGTGGGTCAGCATTCCTCTTGTAGTCCACGATGAGCTCCTTGGTCTTCTCGGTGTTAAGCAGCAGGTTGTTTCTGTCGCACCACTCAGCCAGACGATCCACCTCCTCCCTGTAGGCGGCCTCATCGTTGTCACTGATGAGGCCAATCACCGTGGTGTCATCTGCAAACTTAATGATGGTGTTGGAACCATCAGCAGGTCTGCAGTCGTGGGTGAAGAGGGAGTAGAGGAAAGGGCTCATCACACAGCCTTGTGGTACACCGGTGTTCATTGTGATGGTAGATGAGCAGCGGTTATCCAGCCGGACATGTTGGGGGCGGTTGGTCAGGAAGTCCAGTAACCATTTGCAGATGAGGGAGCTGATACCCAGGTCTGTCAGTTTCCTGATGAGTTGTGAGGGGTGGATTGTATTGAACGCTGAACTGAAGTCTATAAACAGCATTCTGGCGTAGGTGTTGTTGTTGTCCAGGTGTGAGAGGACAGAGTGCAGTGCGATGGAGACTGCATCCTCTGTGCTCCTGTTCTGGCGGTATGCGAATTGGTGGGGGTCCAGGGTGGGGGGGAGACAGGATTTGAAGTGTGCTAGGACCAGCTGCTCTAAGCACTTAGTGATGATGGGGGTGAGTGCTACTGGGCGGTAATCATTGAGGCAAGATGGGTTGGAGTTTTTGGGTATCGGGACGATGGAGGTGGATTTGAAGCAGGCCGGTACCACAGCGTGGGCCAAGGACAGATTGAATATGTCTGTGAGCACTCCTGCAAGCTCCCCAGAACACGCTCTGAGAACACGCCCGGGGATGCCATCAGGACCTGCAGCCTTGTGGATATTGATCCTGCTCAGCACCGCTCCTACATCGGTGGGGGAGAGAGTCAGAGGTTGGTGGTCTGGCGTCATGTCTGCTTTGGTTGTGGTTGTGGGGTTCCCTCGCTCAAAACGAGCATAAAAGTTGTTGAGCTCGTTGAGGAAGGAGACATCAGAGGATGCGGGGGAGGGTTTGGTGGTCCTGTAGTGTGTGATGGGCTGGAGTCCTTGCCACATGTGTCGGGGGTTGGAGTTGGAGAAGTGTTCTTCTACCTTCTTTTTGTAATGGTGTTTGGCTTTTTTGATACCCTTCTTTAGATTAGCCCTGGCTGTACTGTAGGCGTGTGCATCTCCTGACCTAAAGGCAGTGTTGCGGGCCTTCAGGAGGAGACGAACATCCCGGTTCATCCAAGGCTTCTGGTTGGGGTACATGGTGATCCGTTTCTGGGTGGTGACACTGTCTGTGGTTTCGGAGATGTAATCCAGTACAGATGAGGCATACTGGTCCAGGTCTGTGTGCGTGAACATATTCCAGTCTGTGTTTTTAAATCTGTCCTGGAGCACTGCGTCTGTCCCCTCTGGCCACACTTTAATTGTCCTCACAGCAGGTTTCACACGTTGGATGAGTGGTGAATACCTAGGTGTGAGGAACAGGGAGAGATGGTCCGATTGTCCAATGTGGGGGAGGGGTGTGGCTTTGTAGGCTCCAGCCAGGTTTATTACTGAGCAAATGAATGATGATGACGACATATACAGACAGCGGTGTAAGCTCTATGTGCAGGCAAATACTATTGCTCGCAAATTCAGCTTTTGTTCACTTCCAGTTAAAGTGGCTTTGTTTAAAGCGTATTGCACACCGCTATATACTGCCCCCTTGTGGTCATCCTACAAACAATGTAGCATGCAGAAGCTGCATGTTGCATAAAATGATGCGATGAGAATCCTTTGCAGGTTACCTAGAAGGGGTAGTGCCAGCCAGATGTTTGTAGCTGTGGGTGTTTGGACTTTTAAAACACTTTTAAGAAAGTTAATGTTCAATTTTAGAGAACGACTGGATGGCTCTAGTAACAATATAATTTTAGCGCTCACAGATCCGACAGTGAGTGGTTCCCATTACTCATCCAGTCTGAGAAAGCACTGGTTGAAGTGTTTGTGTATTTATTGATTTCTTTTAAGTAATTGTGTTTTATGTATATTATGGTTTTATATTTTTACAAATGCTTTATATGTTTATATGTATATACATATATATATTTTTAAGGTTTATACCTTGTGTTTTATTTTATGGGGGGGGGGGGGGGGTGTTTCTGTCTTGTTCTTATGGACATGAAGTCTGCCAATAAAGATTGATTGAGTGATTGATTGATTGATTGATTGATTGACCTCACTACAAAATATTCCAAAGGTAACTGTTAAAAAGGTGAAAAAGATTGGGAATGATAGCAACTCAGTTTGGTGGAGGGGGATTTTGCTGTGGCGTTGTTTTTCAGAAGCCAGGCACGGCCCCATAGTTCCACTGGAAGAAACTCTCAGTGCTGCAAAATACCCACCAAAAGACATTTGGCAGAGTGGAGACTGCAAGCCAGGCTTTCTCAACCATTTAAAAAAAAGGAGTTTATTGAACCATCAGAAAAAATGTCTTTTAAAAAATTAATTACATTTTAATTTCCATGCATGACTTTTAATTTTGGCATATTTATTACATGTGGCATTTTGCTTAAAAATGTGCAATTTATTGAGGTTTTTCAGGGGGGGAAAGGATCACATTAATGATGTTGAAGTCTCAAAAACTCACAAAAAACCCTGTATGTAACAAATATGACACACTAGGCGTTAAGGTGCTAAACCTTGTGGAAAGCCTTCTCGGAAGAGTTGAAGCTGTTATAGCTGCAAAGGGTGGACTGACATTATACTCAACCCCATGGATTAAGAATAGGATCCCACTCAAGTTAATTTGCATATGAAAGGCAAACGATGGAATAAGTTTGGCAATATAGTGTACGATTACAAATTCAAACATCAATCTTCAGTCTACCATGATCTGCTGCCATACACACTTACACATAAATTATGTTCAAACATGGTGTTAGTTATGCAGACTGTGGTTATCACATAAGTCCAACAAAAGAGTTTAACCCCTCTCCAGTAGACCTCCAGTTGTGCATTGAGCTCGACATCTCTGTGCTCTTCTTGCGCTTTACTTAGGACCAGTTTGTCTTGGGAGACCCTACCAGGGGCTCCAGACAACATAGCCCCTATAGGCACACAAACCTCTCCATCATGATAAGGTGGTGATTCATGGATGGGTGCGAAATACTAATTTGATCATGAAGTCACATTTTGTGGTATATGGTAGTTATTTGTACAGCCAGAGCTTTTGTGCAGGCAAGACCCAGAGTTGTACTGACACGTGATAACCCAACTGATTCAATTCAAATCTGTCATGAGAAGCTGTGTGTGGGAGGGAGGATAGGACCCAAAATGCAGGACCCAGAAGTGGGACTAAACTTGTCATCAGCTTTATTGCCAGAATTGCAGAATGCTATTACTATTTATTTAAATTATTTCTTTCAGATTGGTGCAGCGGCTGCAGTGATGCAGACGTTGTACCGGTCCATCATGGTGTAGAGAGCTGAGTGTAAAAGCGAAGCTCTCAATTTACTGGTCGATCTACTTCCCTACCCTCACCTATGGTAATGAGCTGTGGGTAATGACCGAAAATACAAGCAGCAGAAATGGGCTTCCTCCGAAGGGTGGCTGGCCTCTCCCTTAGAGATAGAGTGGAAAATTCAGCCATCCGGGAGGGGCTCAGAGTAGAGCGGCTGCTCCTCCACATCGAAAGGAGCCAGTTGAGGTGGTTTGGGCATCTGATAAGCCTCCTGGGCGCCTCCTATGTGAGGTGCTCCAGGCATGTCCCACCGGGAGGAGGCCCTGGGGCAGACCCAGGACACGCTGGAGAGATTATATCTTTCGGGTGGCCTGGGAATGCCTTGGTGTTCCCCCAGATAAGCTGGAGGAGGTGGCCGGGGAGAGGGAGGTCTGGTCTTCTCTTATTAGGCTGCTGCCCCTGTACCCCGGCCCCGGATAAGCGGAAGAAGATGGATGGATGGATACTTTCTCTCCAAATTATTTTTCTGAGTTAACTTCAGCTTCCTCCAAACCATCAACAGATCTCTTAGACTGTATTGTTACAAGACTGCTCAAAGAAGCCCTACCATTAATTTATTCATCAATCTTAAATATGAAAAATTTCTTTCAGTTAATGAACTTTATGTTGGCAGTAATTATAATCACTTTAAAAGCCATCACTTGACCCAACTGTCTTGGCTAATTATAGGCCAATCTCCAACCCTCCTTTTAGCTGTAAACACCTAACTGATCATCCACAGAGGAATTTATTTATTTCAAGAGTTTCAGTCCGGCTTCAGATTTTCTTATGGACTATAACAGCAGACCCATATCTATGCATGTCCTACTAGACCTCAGGGCAGGTCTAGTAGTTATCGTCAACATAACTTGTTGTTAATAGTACCTTCATTGTTGCTCTCTCCCTCAGACTCTAGATGGGTTTGTTTTTGTTGTTGCATCAGATGGAAAAATCATGTACATATCAGAAACGGCATCAGTGCACCTTGGTCTGTCACAGGTAAGACAATCCACCTCAGCACTCTCTCATGTGGACTAGTATACCCAGGAATAAGTTTAGATTTTCTGAACCAAACAATCTGGAGAAAAATGTATAAGTAACACAGAAGCATGTGTCATGTAACAACTGAGTTTTCAACACACTTCAGACATGGCATAAATAGAACACTCTTTTGTTTCTATATGAATTTAATGCATTTGTGCAACTAATCACTAAATGTTCCAAATGTGTGTGCCACAGGTGGAGCTAACAGGAAACAGTATATTTGAGTACATCCACCCATCAGACCATGATGAGATGACAGCAGTGCTGAGTCTCCGCCAGGCCCCACAGCAACATTTCTTGCCAGGTACTTAAAGACATTATTTCTCCATTGTGTGCCACACAGTGGTAGTTGATATTTTATTCTTGAAGTGAATTAACTGTTTGTTCTTCGATGCTGTCCATGCCTGGCTGCTCCTCTTGTCTCTCCTCCGGTTGCGGTGTGCTACTGAAGTATGGGATGCATGATTAGAACCGTCTGTGTTGGCCAGCCTCCCTTGGCACCATCTGTAACACCCCTCCTACTACAATGATGTTATGATGTGATATACATACAAAAGATATTTTAAAAATTTATAATATATGCCCATGTTTGCAGAGGTCATTGATTGATTGATTGACTGATTGATTGAATCTTTATTTTGAACATGTTGAAAAAGTACAACAACATAGAATTTGAAAACAACAACATAGAATTAAGAAAATGTGCCCCATGTTCGGATTGTGTGTACAAGCCAACTCTGCCTCCTGTGAAAGGAAATCAGCTACAACTACCTGAGTCCCCAGCCTATGGACCACCTTGAATTTAAAAGGCTGAAGTTTCAAAATCCACTGGGTGATCTGGGTGTTGGCATCTCTCATGCAACAGAGCCACTGCAGTGGGGTACAATCCAGCAGAGGGTGAATGGGCATCTCAGGAGGTAATAACAAAGAGAGTGTGCCGCCCACCAGATTGCCAAGCCCTCTTTTTCAACAGTACTATACCAGGTTTCTAGTTCTGACAGTTTCCAGCTGATGTACACAACTGGGCAGTTGACCGCCCCTTATCTGCTGACGGCAGGCCTCTGCTTTAGGTGTTAGTCTGCAGGATAAAAGAGAGGGAAAGGTTTGGTGTGTGGAGCAGTGGTTCCCCACAGAGAGCCTTCTTCACCTTCAAGAAAGGCATTTTGCACTGCTCCATCCACTGGACCAGGTCTGGGGTAACCTTTCAGATGAAGTCAGTCAAGGGCCTTGTTGGCATCGCAAAGTTCAGAACAAACCACCAGGAATTGCCAGCCAGCCAGCCCTAATAGAGCTGAAATAGTGGAATAGGTGAATTTAGTACCTCCAGCCCCAACTCATCTCAATTATTTAGCACACTCGCCACATTGGGGTGATATATTTGTGTGGCAGCTCCTCTGTCTTACTGCACCAACTTGTGGTCAACATCCACTTGCCATGTGACCAAATCTTAGAAATATGGTCTCTAACCAGATTCTTACTCTGGATGGCATTACCTTGGCCTCCAGTAACACTGTGAGGAACCTTGGAGTCATTTTTGACCAGGACATGTCCTTCAACGCACATATTAAACAAATATGTAAGACTGCGTTCTTCCATTTGTGCAACATCTCTAAAGTTAGAAATATCCTGTCTCAGAGTGACGCTGAAAAACTAGTTCATGCATTTATTACTTCCAGGCTGGACGACTGTAATTCATTATTATCAGGATGTCCTAAAAACTCGCTGAAAAGCCTTCAGTTAATCCAAAATGCTGCAGCAAGAGTCCTGACAGGGACCAGAAAGAGAGAGCAGATTTCTCCTGTTTTGGCTTCCCTTCATTGGCTTCCTGTTAAATCCAGAATTGAATTCAAAATCCTGCTCCTCACATACAAGGTCTTAAATAATCAGGCCCCATCTTATCTTAATGACCTTGTAGTACCATATCACCCTATTAGAGCACTTCGCTCTCGCTCTGCAGGCCTACTTGTTGTTCCTAGAGTATTTAAAAGTAGAATGGGAGGCAGAGCCTTCAGTTTTCAGGCCCCTCTTCTGTGGAACCAGCTTCCAGTTTGGATTCAGGAGACAGACACCATCTCTACTTTTAAGATTAGGCTTCAAACTTTCCTTTTTGTTAAAGCTTATAGTTAGGGCTGGACCAGGTGACCCTGAATCCTCCCTTAGCTATGCTGCAATAGACGTAGGCTGCCGGGGATTCCCATGATGCATTGAGTTTTTCCTTTCCAGTCACCTTTCTCACTCACTATGTGTTAACAGACCTCTCTGCATTGAATCATATCTGTTATTAACCTCTGTCTTTCTTCCACAGCATGTCTTTCATCCTGTTTTCCTTCTCTCACCCCAACCGGTCGCAGCAGATGGCTGCCCCTCCCCGAGGAGGTTTCTCCCTGTTAAAAGGGAGTTTTTCCTTCCCACTGTCGCCAAAGTGCTTGCTCATAGGGGGTCATATGATTGTTGGATTTTTCTCTGTACCTATGAAGTGCCTCGAGGCGACTTTTGTTGTGATTTGGCGCTATATAAATAAAATTGAATTAAATTGAATTGAATTTAGTAGACAAAAGTGAATGGCTTAAACATGAATTGAGCTGCAGTTTGGGGAAGGCCTCGGAGGGGACTGGCCGCGGCTCCTGGGCATGGCAGATCCCCAAAGAAGGCATCCCCTAAAAGCAGTAATAACTGTGCTTTACAAAGGTCAAAGACCTCTGCAGTAATATAACTGGTAGTCAGGCTAGCGAAGATAAGTAGCCCATGGCCTCAATAAGGTGGTGGAGGATTCCATAGAGTGGAGCGGATGAGCTCGAAAAATTAGGAAGAAATTGCAGGAGAAGAGATCAAAGGAATTTCAAAATTACGAAAGACCTTGATAGATGATTAAGGGGAACCCTTCATCATGTAGCAACATGACTTGACTCGGAACTGAAGCTCTAACAGTGATGTATGCTGGGATTTTGAGACTTGAAGTATGGCTTGAGGGGTCATAAACGCTTAAGTGAGCTTGTCTTGGGGCAGAAGATGGAGAGGGGATGCCTGGCTGGTTAATTTGCTTTGGGTAAGGTAGCAATAACTACTGTGCCGATTTCAAAAGGGACGCCTTGAGGAATTATGCATATGGTGGAGTTCAGATCTCTTAAAAGGAGCAATAGAGGACAGAACCCGGCATCCCGGTGCCACAAGGGTTTGCTGCTGCATTCTGCACAGGAGGGAACAAAACGGAGAAACTGTCATCCTGGTGTGAGGAATGTTTACTGCTGTGTTTGCAAATGACTGATATGGTGAAGGAGACTGGGCACCCGGTGCCAGGAATGTGCACTGTTAGATTTTGTGAAAGATTGATAGATGCAGGGAAGCTGGCATCCCAGAAAGGAAAGCTTGCTGCTACATTTGTGACAGAGGGATAGAGTGAAGAGAAACTGGCATCCCGGAGCCAGAAAATGTTGCTACTTCTAATTGCAAAGGGGGGACAGTAGAGCAAAAAACTGGTATGAGAACTTGGCATCCTGGTATCAGGAAGTTTTTTGTTTTTGTTTTGTGCAAACGACAGATGGCAGACAACTGACATCCTGAAGGCAGAAGGGTTCCCTGCTGCTTTTTGCAGTGATAGCTGCAGAGAAGCTTATTGCTGCATATGAGGGACAGAGAAAGAGAACCTGGCATCCCGGTGCCAAAAGCTTGCTGCTGCATTTGCAAATACGTGAAGAGAACCAGACATCCTGATGTCAAAAGCATTCTGCTTTGTTTGCAAAGGAGGGATAGAGAAAGAGAACCTGGCATCCTAGTGCTATAAAGCATGCTGCTGCATTTTGTGAATGATGGATATAGAAAGAAGCTGGCATCCCAGTGCTAAAAGGGTTCGGTGCTGCTTTTTGCAATTATAGAGGTTCAAGGTTCAAGGTTCAAGGTTCTTTATTATTTGTCACATGCATAGTTATACAAGTATAACACACAGTGAAATGTAGCCTGACACGCTCCTCGACATGTGCAAAATTGGCGGGGGGGGGGGGGGGGGGGGGGGGGGGTGTAGAGGAAGAACATTATATATATATATATATACATACACATATAGTATATGTACTGGGTGAATGTGCAGTAGTAGCAGCAAGCAGGTGAATTCTGTACATTAATATGAATAGATATCTGACTATTTTACAGGATAGACAATATAAACATATTTAAAGTTAAAGGAATTGAAATGTACATTGTGCCTTGGTTTAGTGTCTGGAAGAGTCCTGACTCAGTCAATTATAGATGATGTGAGAGGGCAGGTGTGTGTGTTTAGGGCACGGATGGCTTGGGGATAGAAGCTCCTCTTGAGTCTCTCTGTCCTTGCCCGGAAGATGCGGAACCTTCTACCAGATTGCAGAAGTTGGAACAGTTTGTTGCCAGGATGGGACGGGTCCTTCAGTATCTGCGCTGCTCTAGTCCGGCATCTCCTGGTGTAGGTGTCCTGAAGCGGGGGGAGAGCAGATGCAGAGAAACTGGCAACTCGTTGGGAGAGGAGCTTGCTGCTGCGCTTGCGAATGAGGGAAGAGAACCTGGCATTCTGGTGCCAAAAAGCATGCTGCATTTCCCAAAGGAGGGATAGAGAGAAGGGGAACTGGTAACCCGGTGCCTTTTTTTTTTTTTTAAACATCTGTGCAGAGAAAGTGGCAGCTCTGTGGTAGGAAGTTTGCTGCTGCAGTTTACGAATGATGGATATAGAAAGAACCTGGCATCCCAGTGCCAGAAGGGTTCACTGTAATGAACCCTTCTGGCACTGGGATGCCAGGTTCTTTCTTTATCTATCATTCTCAAATGCAGCAGCAAGCTTTTCTACCAATGAGTTGCCAGTTTCTCTGTATCCGTATGATGTCTACTGTCATTTCTTCTCTTTATTGAGCAATTCATTCAGGACAGTGTAGCCACTGTCAGGAATGAAATGTACATAATAGCTTAGCATCATTGTTCAGGTAACAATGAGTGTATGGTAGTTCAAAAAGCACTTGGACCATAGCCTTTTGAAATAAGCCTGGTGATGATGTTATCCCAAAGGGGAAACAAAGCAGAATAGCTCTTTTTGAGTAATAATAATAATAATAATGGATTGCATTTATATAGCGCTTTTCGAGAACCTCAAAGCACTGTAAACTGTCAACTGCTTCTTTGAATTCTCTTCTACATCAATCTATAGTTAGGCATTTGATAAGTCTAACTTACTGCAAGGGATGCAAACAGGTCCTCAATGTGTGGAACTGGGTACTTATCCATGCAGAGCTGTGTGTTGAGAGTGGCCTTGAACTCTCCATACAGTCTCACTGTGCCACCAGGTCAGCAGAGGGCAGCACAGTTGGCTTTAGGGACAAACCATGGACGATGTCCACTGTGATTCTTGGATACCATGGACAGTTCTCACACAGAGTCCCTGTAACAACTACTCCTGCACCTATGAGTTTGTGAGGTCTCAGAATTTTGAATTATCTGGATGACTGGCTGGTCTGTGCAGTCTCAGAACAATAGTCTTGCAGCCATGTAGTTGTGCTCTTAGAACATGTCCAGCCTGTGGGTTGGCTTCTGAACTACCAAAAGAGCAAGCTCCACCCATCCCAGGTCACAACTTTTCTAGGTATGACTCTGGACTCCAACAGGGCCACTCAGACATTGGCTCGCCCTCTTCAGGCTACACTTTTGGGTCAGCTGGGGAATGCTCTTTGCCTCATGGGCCTCATGGCATGTTCAGCAATGCCTTCTGAGTTTGGGCCTTTGCCCACAGCAGTCTCATCAGGCAGGGACTTTGGTGCCACAGAGGCTCCACTGAGCTCTCCACTTTTGAAGGTACTCTCAAATTAGAGCAGGGTTATGTGTTGGATATAAATGTGTTGGAGCTAATGGCTCTGTTCCTTGCACTCCAGCAGTTCCTGCTAAGACTGGGAGGCTATCATGTCATCATCAGTACAGACAGCACAGTAACTACAGTCACAGCAGCCTACATCAACAGGAAGAGGGCCTAGACTCTAACATCCTCTGCAAGCTGGCAACCAGGTTGTGACAAGCCAGCTCCTGGTTTGAAGGAAACTCCTGTCTTAGGTGAATGGAACACTATTCTCCCCTTTCCCACAGACTGATGTGTGGCCCCTGAGGAAAAGGCTCCTTGCCTTGTGGCTACCAGAACTGGTGGTACAAACTATGCAAGAGTCTATGCAAGAACCCACTAGGACTGCCTACTTGTATCACTGGGGACTGTTTGGCTCCTGATGCATGGCCCACCAGATGGCCAACCATGAGGCTACAGTGGAGATCATCCTGCAGTTCTTGCAATCCTAACTGGAGGCGTGCAAATCAGCAGTTACCCTGCGAGGTATTGTGGCATTGATCAAGACAGATTATATTGGTCACTCACCTCCAGCTGAGTGACCAATATGATCACTCATCCGGAGTGAATCAGAGGTGATTCATTTCCACTCAGTGGTAATGAATCAGCTCCCAGTTTTAAAAGGTACCCAGAGGGCGACAATTCACCAGTCTAGATCCCCACTTCCCCTATGGGATTTGGATTCAGACCTTTGTGCACTTCACCAACCTGCCTTCAAGCCTCAAGGATGCTGATTTGAACTGAATTTCCCTCAAAACAGCTGTTCTGATAGACATAACATTTTCCAGAAGGATTAGTGATTAGTCCATAAAGACTGTTGCAGGTTTTTACTGGAAGCAGCAGGGTTTATCCTCCATACCAACCCTACAGGCCAACTCAGGACAGAAGACAGCCTGTGCCAGGCTGCTCTGTCTGAGTCTTGACAGAGTATATTAGGTGCACTCAGACCATTAGGAAGACTGATCAGCTTTTTACCTGTTTTAACTTTGGAGTCCTGGTAGACGCTTGTCAAAGGCCAGACTGTCTCACTGGGTTGTAGATATCATGCAGCAGGCATATATATTTTCGGGTACTTCCTTCCCATTCATTTCCCATGCATATGGAATATGTAAAAGAATAGATATAGTCTCTTACTCAGAGAACCAAAGTTACAATGTAACCATACAATTCACAAAGAGCTATTAGCTATTAACTTGGTATATCTCAGCATGCTGTGTCATATATCCTAAAACAATGAGATAACTGGACAAGTAGAAGACAAAACAAAAGTGTACAGGAGATGAAAATGGGTCAAATTTCTGTCTTTATGAAACAGAAAAAAATCCAGTGAAGACTTGACATGCGACCTGAGATATGTATCTGCCCCTTCACTTGATCCATCTACTATTTGTTGAAGTCGCACCAGAAATAATCTCAGTGCAAGTCTGGCTGTCAAGAAGCCATTCTTAACCCTCTCAGGCTCAAATTAAACTTTTTGTTGCTAATGCACAACCAAGTCCTGCAGTGGTACTTCTGAGTAAAAAAAACCCCTCATAAAATATGTATGTGGGGTAATCAAGTTGTTAGTTTTTACTTTTGCAAATCGGCAACGCCTGCCTTGAGAGGGTTAAGGAAGGGAAGCAAGGGAAATACCTGAAGTATGCCAAATTACACAAGCGATGGACTGAAAATCTGTGGCAACAAATCTTACAGAGTGATGAGTCTACATTTGAAATTTCTAGTTCAAATCATTGTCAGAATCTACAGAGGACAAAGGAAAATAAGTAAAACAGTGATTATCTGCAGCCATTTGTAAACACGGTGGGGACTCAGTCATGGTTTTGGGGGTACAGCAAGTGGTGTTAAGGATCTTGTTATAGTTAATGGTATTATGAACACAAAAGATACACCAAATGCTTGAATTTAGATCCACAATGCAATTCAATACCTTCTGGAAAGCACCTGATTGGCAAGAGGTTTATTTTTTAGCATGAAAATGATTCCAGAAATCTTGCCAATACAGTAAAAGCATACATGGAAAGAAAAAGACAACGAAAGACCACCAGCTATGGATTGGCCTCTCCAGATCTCGGACTTCAGTATTACTGAAGCAGTGTGATCGAGAATGGAACACAAAGTAGCCACCATCCACCAGCTTTGGATGTCTTTCCACAAACCTGCAAGCCTGGACACTATTCCTGTAAACTGCTTAAAGACAAAGAAAGCTTTCGTAAGAGCATTCCACCCCCACCCCAATTTTTTACTGTACTGTACTCCTAAGAAACTCTTGTCCCAGAGCTTTTGGACAGGATTATGGTAAGGTTGTGCAGTGGCAACCGGGTGAGAAATGGAAGTTGTTGAAGAAGTGTTAAAAATGGAACATAATATAAATAATATAACATGCGTAATGCCTCTGAACTATTTTTTGTCTGTTTCTTGACAGAGTATGAAATTGAGCGGTCCTTCTTCTTGAGGATGAAGTGTGTTCTTGCCAAACGAAATGCAGGGCTGACATGTGGAGGATATAAGGTATGTAAAGCCAGTGGATGACAAATCTGCCAACAAGGACACCAAAGTTCAGTGGGTGCGTTTGTTTCTAATTTCTTCCTATCTTGGTTCCTTTGTGACATGAAAATAATTTTCCCTTTTCCTATTGATGATTTTCCAGTCCTTTTTTTAGCATTTTTTTTTTAACGAAAAACAAAGACCCCCGTCCTTTGTAATAGATTTACTGATTGACTAACTGACTTGGATGTTCATGGTGTTTTGAATACAGTTCAGTGTATAGATTGTTCACAGACACACCGCACACATTGTGTGTTTGTGTCTTTAATGCTTGGATGAAAACCCATGTCCGCATGTACATCAATAAATGCTCTGTCTAGTCCCTTGAGATACTCTGTCAGGTTTTTACTCCAGCTGCCTTCATTGGCTTTTTGTTTGTGGGTCTCTCTGCCTTCAGTTTCATCTGAACTTATTGAAAGCAATGCTCTTTTTGCTTGAAATCAGATGACTTACTTTCCATTAACATATATTCAATTTTCTTGCCTTGCAAAACTCTTGGATTGCTTTTGTAGTATGCTATAGCACACAAGCTCCAGGGAACTTTAAAGCACACTTTTTGTCCTATTTTGTCTCTATGAGCAAGCACCTGGTAACAGTAGGAATGAAAACCTCAATTTTAACAGGAAGAGGCCTCCAGTAGAACCAGGCTTAGGGAGGCAGCCATCTACCAGTTGGAGGCGAGGGGAGGGAGACTGGACAAAAGACATGCTGCAGAAAAGAGCCAGATTAATGATACTGAATTATTAAATGCAGTGTGATGTATAAATACATAGTGAGTGAAAAAGGTGAGTGAATACGAAACATGCATAACTAAGGGAGGATTCAGGGTCACCTGGTCCAGCCCTAACTATATGCTTTAGCAAAGAGGAAAGTTTGAAGCCTAATCTTGAAAGTAGAGATAGTGTCTGTCTCCTGAATCCAAACTGGAAGCTGGTTCCACAGAAGAGGGGCCTGAAAACTGAAGGCTCTGCCTCCCATTCTACTTTTAAATACTCTAGGAACAACAAGTAGGCCTGCAGAGCGAGAGCGAAGTGCTCCAATGTCCACATGCATGTAAATGCTAAACAAACAGTTAATTATAAGCTTACTCATTAATTCAAAAAGCTGCTGTTTTCTATGTAAGGAGTGCATGAATGTCAAACATTCTGACACTCATTTACACTGCAATGGATGCATCAAGGGCAACTCGGGTTCCAGTATAGTTCGCAAGGGTATGCAGCCGGGAGGAGTCGTGGAGGAGGCATGTGTTAGGTTAAAAGCACTTTCCTGTGTGTGTGTGTGTGTGTGTGTGTGTGTGTGTGTGTGTGTGTGTGTGTGTGTGTGTGTGTGTGAATAAGGCTTGTAGTAAGACAGCACTTTGTGTATTTAGATGAGGTGCTATATTAAAGTGCTATTTCAGTACCAGTGCATGTATCATTTTATTTAACCCCTTAAATTAAAGCTGTAATTCTATACTTCAATATTATTCTGATAATTTGAATAATTACATTTTATAAAAATATTATAAAATTTATATTATAGTAATATAGAAGTAAAATTGAAATATTTACATATTAAAATATTGAAAATATTAAATATTTATTACCATTATTACTACTACTATTGGAGCGGCACAGGAGGGTTGTTTTTAAATTGTTAAATGAACACATTTCATTTTTGAGATACTGTATGTCTGAGAAGTTAACTTAAAAGGGGCACAATCAGTGCATCTGTGGCACACATATTTCTTGAGCATCCTCTCTAGAGCCCAGATCAGATCCGACAAAAAGGAGCATGTGATCCACATGAAATGCACGCAAATACGAAAGCTGCATTTCACAGTGGAATCTGGGTGACTGTGATTTGAACATTATGGTTTGTTAAATGATAGTTTAACTGTCAAAATTTAATCCTATAAAAGTTGTTTCATAAAGTGCTACTTGGTTAAACAATGAAGTTTGATTTGGAAAAGTCCCAGCTCCTTTTGAATGCATTGACGTTTGTTTCCTACCGTTGTTTCCCAGGTCATCCACTGCAGTGGCTACCTGAAAGTGCGTCAGTACATGGTGGACATGGTGCTCTATGAATCATGCTATCAGACTATGGGCCTGGTAGCAGTTGGACACTCCCTGCCTCCCAGTGGTATCACTGAGATCAAACTCCATAGTAACATGTTCATGTTCAGAGCCAGCCTGGACTTCAAGCTCATCTTTTTGGACATGAGGTAGGAGACATGTTGAGAAGGTGGGTAGATAAAGGAAAACCATGACATTATGATATTCTGTCACCTGTTAAAACTCATCGTCACAATAAATGAGCAACGTAAAGATAAATCTAGTAATAAGGATTAATGCAGGTATAATACATTAAGCAATTTAAACGATATTCACTTTAAAAAAATATTGGTATATAAGCTTAACAAAAAGCTATTTTAAAACATTTTAGGGCTGTTAAATGAACATTATGATTCACTTCCACATATGAATGTTCAAATCAGCCCTGACCTGTTATTCTTTTCTGGGGAGTCAGGGTGGCAGAGCTGACAGGCTACGAGCCTCAGGACCTGATAGACAAGACTCTTTACCACCACGTTCATGCCTGTGACATTTTCCATCTACGATACGCTCATCATTTATGTAAGTTTAAATATTTTCAGTGGTATTTATGGGGGAGGATGGAGTGACTTATGTGTGAACATTTGTGAGGAGTTTAAAACATTGTCTTTGATTTGTATTTTGCATTTATAGCTTGATTAATGTTGTATGTATTTGCCTTGAGGATGAAAAGTAGTTCAATCTCGCCTGACAAATAAATAATAATTTTAGATGCTAACTAAATTAAAAGAACTAACCTAAAGATAATTACATAGGGAGATTTGACCAGTTTATCTCTGTGTTTACTACAGTGCTGGTGAAGGGTCAGGTCACCACCAAGTATTACCGCTTGCTATCAAAGCATGGAGGTTGGGTATGGGTGCAGAGTTACGCTACCATTGTCCACAACAGCCGTTCATCCAGACCTCACTGTATTGTCAGTGTGAACTACGTCCTCACGTGAGTCAGCAGCCTCCTTCTAAAATGTAAAACCTGCATGAAACAATGCAGACTATATACCTGTTTTATTGTACACAGTGACATTGAAAGCAAGGAACTACAGTTATCTGAAGATCAGAGTCAAGTCACTAAGTGTGGTGTAAGTCTCACTTCCTCTCTGGACCACAGCAGACAATTCAGAACCAAAGCAGTCAAGATGAAGACCAAACTAAGAGAAGCTCCCTATCTTGAGGTAGGACTTCCACGTGACCTAGAAATTATTAAGATTCCAGAGAAATATAGAAATAAATGAAATATTTCCCACCTTTCTTATAGCAAAAAATAATATATCAGTTTCATTACAGAAATATTAATATTGCAAACTACAAAACTAGGGAAACTGTGTTTGTGTGAGCCACCATACCAACTTTACTTTTAAATCACTTTAAAACAACCAGAAAGGACCAAAGTGGTCTACAGCAGAATAAATATAAGACACAGTAAAAAACAAACAAACAATAACAACACATATCTGCTCATACAAGCGTAAAAATAGAACATCCATACATCTTCTTTCACTTATCGGGTGGCAGGGGCAGCAGCTTAAACAGAGAAGCTCAGACCTCCGTCTCCCCGACCACCTCCTGCAGCTTGCCCGGGATAAAACCAAGGTATTCCCAGGCCAGTCAAGAGATATAATCGCTCCAGCATGTCCTGGGACATGCTGCCCGGCCTCCTCCCAGTGGGACTCACCCAAGAGGGGGCCAGGAGATATCCTTGTCAGATGCCCGAACCACCTTAACTGGCTCCTTTCGATGTGGAGGAGCAGCAGCTCTATTCTGAGCCCCTGCCGGATGGCCGAACTCCTCAGGGCCACCCACCCATTGGAGAAGGCCTTTCCGCCGCTTCTATCCACGAACTCATTCTTTCGGTCACTTCCTACAGCTTGTGACCATAGGTGAGGGTAGAGACGTAAATCGACCGGTAAATTGAGAGCTTCGCTTTTACACTCAGCTCTCTCTTCACCACGATGGACCGATATAGCCACATCAGTGCAGTTGCAGCTCCAATCCATCTGTCAATCTCCTGCTCTTCTTCTCCCATCTATCCATCCATCCATCCATCTATCCATCCATCCATCCATCCATCCATCCATCCATCCATCCATCTTCTTCCACTTATCCAGGGCTGAAATGTGGGAGCAGCAGCCTAAGAAGAGAAGACCCTGACATACTTAAACTTCTCCAGTTGGGGCAGGAACTCCTCCCTGACCCATCCTTTTCTGACTGAAGACGTTAGCCTCAGATTTGGAGGTGCTGATTCTCATTCCCACGGCTTCACAGTCAGCTTCCACCTGTTCCAGTGCGAGTTGGAGGCCATCACCTGATGAAGCAACAGAACCACATCATCTGCGAAAAGCAGAGATGAGATTCTGAGACCACCCAAATGAAAACCTTCCGCCACTTGGCTACGTCTAGAAATTCTGTCCATAAAAAGTGCGAACATAATCTGTGACAAAGGGCAGGCCTGGCTGAGTACATCGTCTAAGTTGGTCCGACTTAATGCCAGCTATGTGGACCAAGCTCTTGCAACAGTTGTTGGGCCAGACACCCCATACTCCCGCATTTCCCATAGGACACTCTGAGGGACATGGTCAAATGAGTTCTCCAAGTCCACAAAACACATGTATACTGTTTGGGCAAACTCCCATGCACCCTCAGATATCCTTGAGAGGGCAAAGAGCTGGTCCAGTGTTCCATGACCAGGACAAAAACCGCATTGTTCCTCCTGTGTCCGAGATTTGACTAAGAGATGGACTCTCTTTTCCAGCACCCTGGCAAAGACTTTTACAGGGAGGGTTAGGATTGTGATTCCCCTATAGTTGAAACACATCCTCGGGTCCCCCTTCTCAAAGATGGGAACCACCACCCCAGTCTGCCAATCTCCTCTGTGAATCGCTACCTTGATTTGGTGGAGGGGTTTGTGAGTACCAGGGATCCCGGCGGCTATGTTGTTGGGGGGCTTTTGCCCCCAGTACGGTCTCCCATGGCAAAATGGTCCTGGGTGAAGGACCAGATAAAGAACTATTCAAAACACTCTGAGTATAAGATCAAGGGAACAGTTCACCCTGCCAGCAATATGGTTACTGGTGCCCTGCCCTGGAGCCAGGCCTGTGGAGGGTGCCCGAGGTTGAGTGTCTAGTGGCTGGCCCTTAATCCATGAGGCTTGGCCGGGCACAGCCCGAAAAGGAACATGGGCCCATCCTCCTGTTGGCCCACCATGCACAGGAGATGCCGTAGCTACCAAGACTAGCAGTTCCAACATGGAATGTCCCCTCTTGCAGGGAGGGAGCCAGAGTCAGTGCGTGAAGTTGAGAGGTAGCAACTAGATATAGTCGGGCTCACCTCAAAGCATGGCTTGGGCTCTGGAACCAGTCTCTTTGAGAGGGGCTGGACCCTGGGTGAAAGGCGGTGGGCTGGGGTGAGGGTGTTAAATCGGAGCCCTGTGGGACCCCACATGAAGGGGAGCAGAGGAGGATATCAACAGTGGACAGTCTCGGTCGTTGTGTCCTTGGGCAAGACACTTCACCCGTTGCCTACTGGTGGTGGTCAGAGGGCCCGGTGGTGCCAGTGTCCGGCAGCCTCGCCTCTGTCAGTGTGCCCCAGGGTGGCTGTGGCTACAATGTAGCTGCCATCACCAGTGTATGAATGGGTGGATGACAGGATGACGCTTTGGGGTCCTTAGGGCGCTATAAGGCGCTATACAAATACAGGCCATTTACCATCTGGAAAGCATTCTACTTCTTCCACATTTTGTCATGATACAGCCTTATTCTGCAATGGATTAAATTAGTTTTGACCTCAAAAAATACACACAATACCCCATTTTGACAAAGTCCAAAACATTTGCTTTGAATTTTTGCAGATTTCTTAAAAATAAAAAGAACAAAACCATAACATGTACAAGTATTCACAGCCTATGTACGGAAAATGTTTGGCATTGAGTCTTTGGTACTCTTGGGGGCCGTGGATGGCACAGTTGTCCTGGTTCCATCTCTTTCTCCTTCCAGGTTTTTGGGGGCATCACTACAGCTTCCCACCCTCATTATCAACTATATGTGTGATAAAGACACACACACACACACACACACGCTCTCTCTCTCTCTCTCTCTCACTATAGGTAGCCGAGTATTTTCTAATTTTTGTGTTCCAGGTGCTGTATGTTTGGAGGATTTTTTGTTATATTTTTATTGTATTTATTTATTTATTTTTAAATATAGCCTCTATATTATTTTTTGTCTTGCCTGTCTTGCCTTATACATCATCATACTATACTACATATAATGTAATAACTGAAATAACACAAATAGAAATTAATTAATAAACAAATAAAGATTCAGATGAACAAGAGTATTCATAGCTTTTGCTCAGTACTTTGTTGAAACACCTGTGGCAGCAATGACACACTCATATCTTTTTGAGATGTAACAAGTCTGGCAAACCTATTTTGGGGGAGTTTCTTCCATTCTTCTTTGCAGGACCTGTCAAGCTCCATTAGGTTGGATGCAGAGCATTGGTGCCATTTTCAGATCTCTCCAGAGATGTTCACTCAGGTTCAAGTCTGTGCAGTGGCAGGGCCACTTCAGGACATTCACATAGTTGTCCCAAAGACACTTCTTTGTTATCTTGGCTGTGTGCTTAAGGTTATTGCTGTGTTGGAAGCTCTGGGGCAGGTTATTAAATTCCCTTAAATCCATTTTTATGTATATAGAACCAAATCACAACAACAGTAACCTCAAGGCACTTTATACTGGAAGGTTAAGATTCTACAATAATACAGAGAAAACCACAACAATGAGATGACCTTTATGACCCAGGACCTGGCGACAGTGGGAAGGAAAAACTCTTAAAAGGAAGAAACCACAAGTAGAACAAGGTTTAAAGAGGGGTGGCTATCTGAAACGACCAGTTAGGGATGATGGGAGGAAAATGGGATAAAAGGCACAGTGTGGAAGCGAGCCAGAGATTAATAATAAATAATGATTAAATGCAGAGTGGTGTATAAATACATAGTCAGTACTTTACAATATAGAGCACCTTGAGGCGGCTGCTGTTGTGATTTGGGAATATATAAAATAAACTGAACTGAACAGAATTGAATTGCTCTAATCTATGTAAAAAAAAATATCGTGCTAAACTGAGGTCTAGCAACACAAGCACAGAGATGAGTCCACTGTCAGAGGCCATAAGAAGATCATTTGTAACCTTCACTAAAGCTGTTTCTGTGCTGTGATGGGCTCTGAAACCTGAATGAAACTCCTCAAATAAGCCATAATTTCTGCCACCTCAAAGGTCTGTTGTATGTAGCCCATTATTAGAGATGGATTGATCAAAAGTTTAAGACCACTTGAAAAATGGCAAAAACTCATATTTTGCAATGCTGGATCTTAACAACTTGCTAAGATCCATGTTAAAAATACGAGTTTTTGCCATTTATCAAGTGGTCCTAAACTTTTGATTGGGACTGTACTTGAAGCATCAAGGATGTTTGCAAATAACAATTGGACTGGTTCTTATATAGTACTTTTCCACTACGAGCACAACTTGCCTTAATCACCCATTTACCCAATTACTTTTTTCTATGTCAGTACTCCTAACATTCACACACATTCAGACTCTAAATTGGGGTTAGTATCTTGCCCTAGTCTGGCATACAGACTGGAATTGAACCACCAACCCTCTGATTAGTAGGCGACCTGCTTTACCAGCTGTGCTACAGCAACTCTTCACTGCTGTACACTGCTGCATTCATCTTTCCCTCAACCTTGACTAATCTCAGTCTTGATCCTGGGACTGGGACCCAGCATTTGGAGTTTTAGGTATTATTTCTGCATTTCGTTTTCCTCATATTTAGAAACCCAGGTTTGTGCCTACCTCTAGTCCCAGTTTCTGATCATTTTGCTCCACTATTGTTTTTGTTGCTCTGTCAGTTGCCAGTTGTTATAAATTTAAGTCTTGTCTTATGACAAGTCCTGCTTTGGGGTCCACTTCCTGGCTGCATGCCACACAGTGGTTATATTACAGTCTTCCAGTTCCTGGTGATGAAAAGAATTCCCAGAACATGATGCTGCCACCAAGTTTCACTGTACGGATTTGTGATGAGCGGAGCCTGGTTTCTCCAGACATGACACTAGAAAGTTCAGTCTTTGTCGTGTCAGACCAGAGAATGTTTTTTCTTATGGTCTGACAATCTTCTAGTGCTGTTTAGCAAACTCCAAGTTAGCTGTCATGGGCCTTTTAATGAGGAATGGCCACCTTGACCACTCTACCATACAGGCCCTGATTGGTGGAGTGCCGCCGAAATGGTTGTCTGGAAGGTCTCCTCTTTCCACAGATCAAGCGGAGCTCTGTCAGACTGACCCTCTCATCGGTACAACCCTGTCTTGGAGTTCTACAGACAATTCCTTGGACTTCATGGCTTGGTTTGTGCTCTGACATGCACTGTCAACTGTGGGACCTTACATAGACAGGTGTGGGTGTAACCCTAGTTACTAAGGGTTTCAGTGCATTATCATTGAGGTTGACTTTTTTTTCATTATCAAGTTTAATTAAGTAAAATTATTTTTTAAATAACTGAAGAGCCGGTGTTTATGATGTCCCAATGGTCTGTAAAGTATACAGTTTGGGAGTACTGCCTCCTTGCATTTTACCTGAAGCAGCTACGGAGATCAAGAAGAGGGGGGAGAAAAAAAGTCAGGTCCTCTGAGTGAGAAACGTTGTTGCCTCTTTAGTCGGATTTTGCTGAGGAAACAAGCTGCCAGGCAACTGTTGTTTAGTTGGAGGAGAGTTTTATTATTGCTGGGATTCTTCTGGTTGTGCTATGACGCCGCACCCTCGCCTATTTGAGGGTTCAGGAGAACCCGTTTTGTTGTTTACTTTTCTCAGGTTTTTTGGGTGTACCAGTCCAAAGATGGCGAGCCACCCCTCCAGGATTTGTTGAGATGATTGATCTGAGAAGAAACTGAAATTCTTTGGACAAGCCATGAACTTTACAAATTCTACTTAAGTCCCAGGACAGAGTTGCACTTCACTGCTCCTTTGCACATTGTACAAGAAGAGATTTTATTGCTGGACTCACACAACTTAGAGATGTGGGCTGAATCACATCCGCTGGGGGTGTATTCTGTTTATTTTTTTGTTGATGTAATTGGTTTTTTTTTATTATATATGTAAGTGATTATTCATGTTGAGATTTTAAGGTTGTGAAGAAATGCAAGTTCAGTGGTCCAGTACCCATGAAAATATTCAAATCTGTATCCCAACTATTAAAATGTGTTACATGTACTTTCCAATCCAATTACATGTAATGTCCAATCAACTGAATTTACCACAAGTAGACTCTGATCAAGTTGTAGAAACATTTGATAGATGAACAGTGGAAACAAGATGTACAACAGGTACATAATATACGTGTTATGTTTTTGTTCTTTAATTTTACTAAATTTGCAAGACTTTGAAGCAATTTCTTTAACGTTGTCATTATGGGGTATTGTGTGTAGAATCTTGAGATGAAAAATGAATTTTTAGAATAAGGATTCAGTTTTAGAATATGACAAACACTGAAGCACATGAAGTGCTGAATACTTTCTGAACTAACACAGAATGTTTTACCCACCGACAGTGAATAAGTTGAGATGTCATTTAAGCTTCTGCTGAATTTTACTCAGAAGAGCTTTGACCCTGATGATTACAGCGAACAAAGACCAATTCAAACCATTTTTGGCTTACAAGGGATCTAGTAGGAAAAAGATAATCAAATATTTTATTGTCTTACAGAGCTACTTTGATAAATACTGAAATAAAGTGTTATCCTAAGATAGTAACCATCCCTGTATTTTTTATGAACATCAGAAGGCTCCTCGCCTCTTCCAGCCGGACCTCTCATACTGCTCGTCACAAAAGGGGATGTTGAAAGACAGATCCCTGTACCCAATGACCCCTTGCAAGGAGACGAGAACCAACCTGAGACCTGAAGGAGTTCAGGTGTCCTGCAGCCCCACTTACAATCTGACTCTCCATTACCCATCCCATCATCAGCATCTGAACGTTCAGAGCCAGCTGCCCAGCTCAGTTCCCTCCTCTCAGCTATCTCAACAAATCATCGGCTCCCTGCATAGTAAAGGGGCTGATGGATGGAACATCAGCAACTCCACAGCAGCCAACAAATACAAAGGTTACGTTTTTATTTAATTTAATTTATAGTCTAGGTTTCTATGATTAAATCTCATTCTGACATTCCATATTCTAGATTTTGTTTTACCATATTTTAACTACTCTCACCCAACCCCACTTCTGTTAAAACCACCTCAGTAGAATTGCCACTGTGGGGACCTAACACTAAACCATTTGTGGTGGAAGCAGCCTGGGCGTCAAGGATCACTGGGCAGGCAGGACTCACTTTTACAGCTCAGTGATTTTATTTACAGTGATAAAAAAAATTCAATTCCACAAAGATGTTCTCCCAAGAACACAATAGCTCATCGCTCTCTAGCAAGGGTCTCTCCAATACAATCTGTACACAGGGAACCGGGCAAGTTTCTCTCTCACAGGCAAGTGGCAAAAACAGTGGTAAAGGAGCCAGGCGTCACTAGCTGTTTGAAATATAATGGTCCAGCGAGGACTGATGCTACCTTAAATAGTGGCTATAAACGAGGACATCAGGAACAGGTGGACATAGCGAGCAGTTCAGGAGGTTGAAGAAGGATGAATTGATCGATCTGGCAGGAGAAGAGGAGGTTTCGCTGGAGGAAGGTCTGGCTAAACCTGCAATTGCGCTGCACCTAATGGAGGTTTTGCGGCCAGAAGTGCGGTTAGAGCAAAGGCAACGTAGAAAATTGGTGGAGGAGAAAAGTGACAGCAAATAATGGAGCAAAAGGAGGGAAAGAGTTAAAAGAGGGAAGGGACTTGCCTGGAGAGATTAGGTAAATGAGAGGTGAACAAAGCTAAGGAAGCCAAGGTGATGATAGATTCGATCTGAATAGAGCTCGTGTTTTTATGCCTTCATTTGATGAAGATGCTGTTGATGTGTTTTTTGAGATGTTTGAAAAAGTTGCTATAGATAGTGGGTGGCCTGAAGACAAGTGGGCTTTGATGGTTCAGAGCAGTAGCAGAGCTAGATGCCACTTTTGAAATATGACGCCTTCTTATGGTAGGTGTTCCGTAAACTTACCGCAGGCAGTGACGTGAGCTGGGGAGACAACCAAGTGAGTCTTATTTGGATATGTGGCATAGACAGGAAGTTGCTTTGCATTGTTGGATAAATTCATCTCAGGCTTTTGGTCATCATCATAAGTTGAAGGACCTAATGTTGTTGGAGCAATTTAAAGTGAGTGCTCCCAGGGAGGTTGACTTTTATCTCAATGAATGTGATGTTGTGAGCCCCCGGAGGCCACAGAGTTGGACGATTGTTATGAAGTTGCCCGTGGATTTAAGGTGGGAGTCAGTCTGGGGAGGAGGAGAGTTAATGAGGATAGGAGTGAGGATGGTCCATATGGTCAGGGTGGAAGCAGGACCTGGCACCCGTCAGGACAAGAAAAGAGTTTGATACAACAGCCCAGTGGATCAGCTCTATTCCAAAGTAGGAGCCAGAATTCTCCTGCAGAGCCTCGTTGTTATTGGCGCCATAAATTAGGTCACAAGAAAAATCAGTGCCCTGGTTACCAAGAAGGCAAAATAATACCAGGCCGGTAGGTCTGTAACAATAGCTCGGGAGTCTCTCAATGAACTACAGGGATATGATGGATTTATGTCTGAGGCCACTGTCTCCCACAGTTCACCACTGTGCGAGGTGTAGGAGGGGTCATGAGATCCTGCAGGTATACAAGCTTTACCTGAGATCTGAGCTGGTTACAGGCTTTGTAATGTAGCAGAGTCACAAATCTCTCCTTTAGATCTATCGATTTGATTATGGCCAATGATGTGGCCTGGGTTAAAGTTGCTCTGTCTGTCAGTGATTACGCAGTGGATTCCCCCAAGACAAGAGAGCTGGAGTTTCCTGAAGTTTTTCCTGCATGTGTGGCCCCCCTGTGAACCACCCTTTTACTAACCTCTCTGATTCCCTATTAAGCACTTGGAATGGCTGTGATGTGCAACCTGTTGATGGGAATAAAGCATGTGGTGGTATAGGTGATGACCCAGGAATGGGTGCTCTTCACAGCTGTCAGAAGAGATAAACAGGTCATGTGAGTAAAACATGAGGAGGACCCTCTGAATTGGGAGTCTCTGGTGCAGAAGCAGCAGAATAATCCTTCCCTGGAACATGCTATGAGGTCAGCAGTAAGTGCAGGAGGCTAAAGATGTGCCAAAGTGTTACTATTTTCACAATGACACATTGTTCAGGAAGTGGAGGCCTCCTTCTAGGCCAGCTGATGAGGACCGGGCCACAACAGAACAAGTCGTTTTGCCAAAGTGTTGTCGCCAGGAGGTTTTGCAGTTGGTGCATGCGTCATTGTTTGGACACATGGCTGCAAAGAAAACCTTGGAGAAACTTAGCCAACACCTATATTGGCCTAGTATGTGGAAGGATATGAAATTATTTTGGTGCCGCTGCCATGTTTGTCAGGTTGTCGAAGAGCCAAGTGTATCTAACCCAGTAACACCATTACAACTTTTTCCAGTTGAGGATGAGCCTTTTGCTCACATAATGGTTGACTTTGTTGGACCTTGTTGGAGCCAGGGATCAAACCAATAAGCTTCCAATCAGTAGGTGACCTGCTCTACCTCCTGAGCTACAGCCACTCACTGGCAAACATGAGTAAACCCTCACTAGGTTTTGGATAAAGTGTACACTCACAAACCTGTCAAATCTGCATTTGAAACGTTGGCTGCCATAACAGTATAGTATTGCAACATGGCATTTGGGTCTTCTAACTAAAATAGGAAAAAAGGAACATAAATAGCGCCATCATTGTCAGACATGGCGCACATCTGGTTGACATACACTCTGCCATGACACCAATCTGGGCCAGACCTGCTTGCTATGTGGGTCTGAGGTTGTTAATGCCAGACTATATAACACAGAGGCCAGAGCAGCTCCAGAGGCAGGAGGTAGTTGACTGCTATTCTGAGCTATTTCAGGATGTGCCTGGAATATCTGATAGGATTGTTGATGATGTGGATGTGGGAGAGGCAGTCCCAATCAAACAACATGCATCATCTGTCCCCTCACAAATGGAAGGTGGCGAAGGAGGAAGTGCTTTACATGCTCCAGATTGGTGTGATTGAGCCAGCAGATGGGGCGTGGAGCTCACCTGTACTGTTAGCTGCTAAGGAGGGATATTTACACAAATTCATCTGACCTCCCCTCTGTCACAGAACAGATGAACAAAAGACAGAGAGCATGCAAACATTTAACTGAACAAATAACATGAACTAAAATGCTCAGACACACACACACACACACACACAGTGCTGGTGGTGACTAATTCACAGTGACTCATGCCATTTAACAAGATATTAATAACCAGCAGATGATCAGATCATTTTTGGAAGGTGAATTTTAGGAAGGTCAGTCATGTCACGAATTCAGATGCTTTCCCCATACTTCGGCTGGAAGACTGCATTGACCAAGTGGGTAGGGCTAAGTACGTAAGGTTGATCTTTTGAAAGGGTACTGTTAGGTACCACTGACAGAACGTGTTTGTGAGATGTCAGCATTTGTGGCTTATGATATCTTATACCAGTTTAAAGTGCTACCGTTTGGGATAAAGAATGCTCGTGCCACCTCCCAGTGGTTGATGAATTTTGTCATTCAGATCTTTTTTTTCCAAAAAGAAAAAGCCTGCGCTGTGAGGTCAGGAAGACGGGTGAGTGAGCCCAGCAGCTAGAAGTATGTATTTTTCCTTCATGTCCAGGCTTAGAAGAGGCAGCTTGATGGCAAAGGTGCCCACAAACAGGTCTCCCAAGAACACAAAATAGCTTGCTGGCTCTATGCAGAACAATCTGTACACAGGGAAACAGCAGTTAAGTTTCTCCTGAAGAGGCAACTGGTGAAAGCAGTGGTAAAGGAGTTGGGCTTCACAAGCTGTTTGAAATATAATGGTCCAGTGAGGACTGAGGGTCTGGAGTTCTGGTTCTGAACAAATGCCAGACTACACAAACACAAGTAGGAAGTCCATATTGAAGCCAACAGAATCATTTTTTGTAGTCTGGTGTTTTTCTGAATTGTTCTGTGTTTTCCAGGTTAGCCAGCTTGTAAAGCTGATGCTGTTCTGAAATGCATTCGGTCCTCTTGATCTCTGCAGTGTTACAGATAGGCTTTCAATGGCATTGCCACTCGCACCAACAACAGAAAGCTGTAGCTTTAACTTGCAAGTCCATATTCATATCCACACAATTCATGTTGTTTTCAGAATGGAAGAATGTTAAACTAAAGCTTAGTCTGCAGTAGTGAATGCAAGCTCAGGAAAACATGCATTTGTCAATAACATCATAGGTGGATTCATTAAAACACTGACAGTCTGACATCTTATGAATAACACTGTAAACTCCTTAGGAGCCATTCAGCAGAGTGCTCATGTCATTTTAATTAAGGTGCAAGCCAACTTCTGAACATGTCTTCTCTTTAATAGGGCCTGTACTGGCAGCTGACCGTAGGTACCAGGATGATTGTCCCAGTGGAATGAACCCTCTTTCAAACAGCAGGCTAAAGGACGAATTCTGTGAACATTACACACTCGTCCATAGCAAAGTTTGTCCACATGCCCAGCCTCATGCCGCAAAGGGGAGTAAAGCTTTAAACCAGGACATGCAACATTATGTAAAAGGTGACAGGGCCCTGGCTTGCCCTGTGCTCAGCAGCCTGGTACTTGGTAAAGGTGAGCATGGTGGCTTGTTGCATGGCATAGGCCAGTCGCTCCCTGTGCAGATAGTGCTTGAGCAGAAGAAGATGCTCTGTATGATGGAGACCCCTTACAGTCACATTGCTGCAGAATATCATCAACCTGCTGACGACCAGCAGCAGTTTGGAGCTGCCACGGAGCCACAGTCCAGATCTGCAGACGACACAAGAATGCTGACAGGTATAGGAGCTCCATATATGTCTTTAAACTTTCATCAAGTCTTGGGCAAACCTGGTCCTATTAAGGCCTCCCCTTTTGCCTCACTGAGCAATATAACAGATGGCCATTGTTACCAAGGTAAAGAGATGGTGTCTTACAACTGTACTAGCCAGAGTCCCAGCTCCAGCTCATCTCCTGAGAGCCACAGAGAGACCCCACACCGCACTGGCACATCTGTCATCATCACGAATGAGAGGTGACCCAGAAAGAGAAGCAGGCTTTATCCGTGTCTGCACACATAGCTCTGACACTGCAGCTGATTACATCATGTTAAAACAGGTTTAGAACTTTTCTGTAAAGCATATGTAGTAATGCAGCGTTTGAAAGTATTTTATTTACTTTCTACTGAATAAATGAATGAATGATTTGATTGTAACCTAAACTTAGGACTTAAAGATGGAATAATGTCTGAATCATGTGATCAGAATATTTGAAATGCAAATATTACTACTGTTACTTCAGTCATTTCATAGCAGGTGTGTTTGTCCATGTGTCACTTCCATGGGAACATGTCTGTGAAGCCTCAGTCATCCAGGTCATCGTAGTCTACGGAGCTCGGAAAGAAAAGCCTCTGGACTTCTTTAAGTTGCTTGAAGACGTTTCACCTCTCATCCGAGAAGCTTCTTCAGTTCTAGGGTCAAATTGTGGAGAGTCACAGATTTAAGCCCTGTGGGAGTGTCCCCCCCAAGAGGGGCAATGGACCCCCTACCTAATCACACGAGCCAAGGTGTGGAAACGGGTGTAGGTCACAGTCAGCCATGGTTCCATGGGAACAGTTTAGTCTTCAGCTCATTTCATTGTTCACCTTCATTTTCTGTAACTCTTGAACTTGTTGTCAAACTGGTAAAGTTTGATGTTTTTAGTCTGCCTGTGTTTTAGCTGTGCTGTGTTTGCTTGTGCTGCCATGAATACTGCATAGCAGACGTGTTGTGAATTTTCATATATTTATTGCATAGCTGAAATTATTCATTAAAACTCAAAATATGATAAGTTAACGACCAACACAGGATGAAACACTATCAAAACTCAAATCTGTGACAGATCAGAAGACTTGATATTTGATTTCACTGTTAACAGCTGTCTTCTAACAGGGGCTTGTTTCAGGGTTAGGGTTAGGTTTACTCATATAAATCGAATCACGTTGGTTTGTTTATGATAACACTCATTCTAAGGCTGAATAATGACGACCAAAAACCTAAAAACATTTGCCAAAAATTATTATTATAAGTATTCTGGTGTTCAGCATTTTAACCCTAAATATTAATGTTTGTCTGCTTGTGTTTTTTCATCCTTTGCACTTTTTTTTTTTATAAACAATAATTTTCTGTGAAAGCAATCAAATTAAAGTCAAGCGTAATAAGCTGGGTTTGTAATATTATATTATTCAAACAAGGACTGGTATAGCTTTGGAAAGAGACTGGTTTGTTCCTGTTTCCTGATGGTGTGTTTAGTTAACCTGTTACTGACCGGAGCTAACTTTGTACTGCATACTGCTAATTTAGCCAAACAATTTCATTCCAGACTGTACCACACTATCAACCTGCTTTACACCAGCATGTCAGTAACATTTGTAATTTATCAAAATTACATTAATAAAGCTATTTTTAAAAAAAACATTTTTTCAAATCAGTTCTTCCTGTTTCTTTATGTGGTCATTGACAATCTGTCCATAACAAAGTTCAGCGCTCCTAAATTTAAAGACGTTTTTAAGTGAAACTAAGTTTTCCAGTGGATATTCTGTTGCCACCTCAACACAAATGTGAGTGGTCATTGCTGCCCTTCCTGTTCAAACACAGTATTCAGACTTTTTTTTACACTGTATTCTCATTAATTTGACTTGTGTTGTGTTATGCTTGCTGAAGACTGGTGCAGAGTGGAGGCACAGGACAACATGTTCAGGCTGCTGCATCATGTGCAGTTTCTCCTTTTGGTTACTTTGGTTACCGTGGCTCAGGGGGTTGGGAAGCGTATCTGTAACCGGATGGTCGCTAGTTCGATCCCCGGGCTCTCTGTCCTGGTCGTTGTGTCCTTGGGCAAGACACTTTACCCTACCGCCTACTGGTGTTGGCCAGAGGGGCCGATGGTGCGATATGGCAGCCTCGCTTCTGTCAGTCTGCCCCAGGGCAGCTGTGCCTCCACCTGCAGCTGCCTCCACCAGTGTGTGAATGTGAGAGTGAATGAATAGTGGCATTGTAAAGCGCTTTGGGTGCCTTGAAAAGCGCTATATAAATCCAATCCATTATTACTTTCACATGGACATTTTGGAGAAGCACAAATATTTTTGTACAACTCCTATTTTTCAGCTTTCTAAGAGCTTTAAAAATGATCTTGATATTTATGAAGTTATTGGTTTCTTTGCTAACAATCATTGACACACACCTCTGTGAAGGAGGAGTGCCCAGTGTCCGTATTTTACTTTTGCCAGCTGAGGATTTCATGACTATGGCAATGATGGGCTTGATTGAGTACCAGTAAACAGGGCCTAGTTTACTGGAGCTAGTGTAAAACCTTTCAGTCCTAATAGGTCCTGAACGAGCAGCTAGCGTTCGTGCAGACAGGCTGGCTGTAGGAGGTAGAGCAGGTCATCTGCTAATCAGTGGTTCGATCCCTGGCAGGTCCAGGCTGCATGCCAAATATCCTTGAGCAAGGAACTAAACCCAAAGTTGCTCTCCAATGAATGTGTGTGAAAGCACTTAAGTGCAGAACATCGTGCCTGTGTGAATGGGTGAATGAGGCATGCTGTATAAAATGCTTTGATTGATTGATTATGCCTTCAGTTGTCACTTGCATCATTACATGTACATGTTACCGACTATACACACATTGTACAAACATCACATTGGGAAGACAGGTCAGAGAAAAACTATGAAATACACAAGAGAGGAGGAGAAAAAAAGCTCTACCCAGACTGAGCTCCTGAGAGGAGAAAAAAACCGGTTCATTTACCGATCACACGAAGCAGACTGAGTGACTTTGGTGCTTAAATGAAGCCACACGCAGCTAAGTGTCATTTTTCTTTTGGTTTTGTTTCCTTCAGTTTAAAATCTGCCTTCTGAAGAGTCATCACAGCGCTTTAATGGTCTGAACTGTGTGTGCGTGTCCACCGACGAGGCTGTACATGTGTGTCACACACTTAATACAAAAAGGGAGCACTTCCTTTTGACCCCAGCAACCTGCAGACTTGAGTTGTTTAATAGGATGTTGAGAGTATGGATCCAACAGAGAGCCATTTGCTTAATAATCTTCAGATGGCTTTTGGCACCAACAGCAGCTTAACGGTGTCTCTTCACCCCTTTTACTTAATATATCTGCTTCTGTCACACAAGAACCCGTGGGCTAAAGGACTGAGAACAGAAATGACCTTCATAATATTGTGATGGTACAGGAGGATGAAGGAAGAAAGGGAGTGTTATAAAGTGGTCATAAATAATTAAGACTGACCTTTTATCTAGGAGATTAAAGATTAAATGATCTTTGATTCAGTTTTGGTGAATTTGTGCACATCAAGTGTAAATCTGTGTGTGCATCATCACAAACTCCTGTTTACAGTACAGCTGAATGGTGCAGTTGCTGCACTGGCATTTTTACTAAACTAATCTAAATGCAATCTCAAAGAGAACCAGTCCGTTTATGCTGTGAATGAACCGACAACACTGCAGTAGTGTCACTATGATGACTTCCATAATGGCCTGTTATGTCTGAGATACAGGAAGTTTTGAGGTCCCATGAAAGCAACATGCTGCGTCCACTTTGCACATTTCCTGCCACTTCATCTGGAGAGGAGAGCTCAGCAGTGTAAGGTGCTGGAGACAAATGAAGAGTCAAGAAATAGATCTGTGTGTGATCACATCAGCCACATGAGAGGAACACTCGACTGGTACGCATATAATGCCAACAAGCCTCACCTAATAACACACACACTCACACGCACACAAACACGCGCGCGCACACACACATTAGAGGAAACCCAGGGTTCAGTATATTGCCTGAAGACACTTGGATATTAAGCCTCTGGAAAATCCTGTTCCGGGCGGGGTGGGGGGCTAGAGGAAGAAGACCGGACAACGATTGTTTTGGAGGAAGGAAGGTTCAGGGTTTCAGTAGTCATCATCATGGGCTCATCGGATTAGAATGAGAATAAGCAGTCATCATTTGCAGGTTTTGTCGTTTTATTGTATAACGGGTAAAGGAAAGAAAGACACACATGGACTGCTCTCTCTCAGCTGCCGCCCCATGTGGGAGTGAAGAAAGAGTGAGGGGTAGGTGAGTGCAATTAAGGCCAAGCACCACACCCAATCAAAGGTGAGGAAAAGAAACAAGGTGCATCTGGTGAAGTGAATGTGCTAGAAGGTGAGCCTTTACAACAGCCGCTCCCATATTTCTACTGAGAAATATGTTCAAAGGATTAGAGATGCTCCTTTTCTCAAAGCGGGGGCAGAGGAATCAGACATGCTACAGGTCTACTATAAGTTCAGGGGGTCGACCTAGAGGTCGACAATGCAGGCCAGACAGTTCAGGGGGCCGACCATGTAGCCAGCGGTGGCGGCAAAGCAGGTCCAAATGCCAACCGCGTGGGATGCAGCAGCAGGCCCAGACCTGCAGACCGTTGGGCAGTTTTGCAGGTGCTGGGGGCAATGTACGGGGCTTGGCAGAGGCAGGACCAGGTGATGCAGGAGCAGGCAGCGCCCTGACCACTGGCGGAATGGCAGCCACAGGCGGTGGAACTGGTGATAGTGGCACTGCCGGTGACGACATAGGTACTGCTGATGGTAGAGTATGAAGTGGCTGAATGAATTCAGAGCCATCAGCGGACACAAGGATGTGCTGGAGCGGTTCTCCTGAACCTGAACTGGAAGATGTGAATAAACATTGGGCATGCGTGGAACTGCTCTGGGGTTGGAAGTCTGTGATTGGACCTTGGAGTGTCCATCCTAAGCGGGTTTTGACTGCTGCAGGAGATCCAAATGGTCCATGTCTAACTGGTGCAATAGGCGTAATAAGGTGGGTATGATCAGAGCCTATGAGCAGTAGGGGAGCTGCTTTGTTAGTAAAGGTTAATGGGATACCTTGAAGATGCTTGTATCTCCGTTGAAGAGAGGATACGGGGTAGGTGTGGTCTGAAAGTGCTAAGTGACTTGTAGCGAAGGCATTATTAATTGTGTATGTTTTCTCTGGATGTGCGATGGGTGAGATTTTGAAA